AGCAACACAGGAGTTTTTCAGGTAGAAAATGGGCTTTTTCTCTTTTTTAAGAGAATGGGTAGGAAAGAAAATTAAGTTTTATATGTGTAAAGGATCTTTTACTACACTTAGAAGGATTGTGACACAAACAGTATGAAAAAAAGGAACAACCAAAGAGAGGGGGCTGAAGACTTCAGAGCATGGGCTGAGCATGAGCTGCCAGCTTTAAGTAGAGAGAGAGGGCATCGAGTAAATAAAGCTCTGTCCTTTGTACTAAATATGGGCTACACACAGTGAACATGGATTTGCACCTTAAAAGAAACTGCTGGGGATCTTCTAAGTATATAATCCAAACATAATCAGCAAAGTTTCATTGGTCTTCCCTTCTGTTGCACACTCTCTGAACTTTTTTTTTCCTTTCTCAGGTTGTTATGGATAATACACATGGCTATGGCTTACCTGGGAAACTCAGTGGCTCCATACGATAAGCACTGGACTGTGAACTACAGGGTCTGCAGTTCAAGCCCTCCATCTGCTCCATGGGAGAAAGAGGAGGCTTTCTGCTCCTGTGAAGATTTAGAGACTCGGAAACCCACTACAGGGTTCCTGAATCTGAACTGACTCAACCACACTTAACAACAACATGGCTTAAATGGGGTCTAGGTGTGGTGCTGTAGGATAAGCACTGAACTGCAAACTGCAAGACCAGCGGTTCAAACCCACCAGCAGCTCCTTGGAAACTCTATGCATAGTTGCTCTGAGTCAGAACTGACTTGACAGTACTTAGGAACAATGACATGGCTTAAATATGTTGTTGTTGTTAAGTGCTGTTGAGTCAGTTCTGACCCATAGCGACCCTGTACAGGGTTTCCGAGGCTGTAAATCTTTACGGGAGCAGAAAGCTTCATCTTTCTCCTGTGAACTGCTGACCTTGCGGTTCACAGCCCAATTCGTAACCACTACGCCACCAGAGCTCCTTTTGTTATTAGATGCCCTCAAGTCAGTTCCAAGAGTCATAGCGACCCTGTGCCCAATAGAACAGCACACTGCCCGTCCTGTGCCACCCTCACAATTGTTAGGTTTAAGCCCATTATTGCTGTCTCTGTCAGTCCATCTTGTTCGGGGTCTTCCTCCTTTTTCATTGACCCTCCACTTTACCTAGCATGTTGTCCTTCTCCAGGGACTGGTTCCTCATGACAGCATGTCTAAAAGTCAGGAAGATGAAGTCTGGCCATCGTGGCTTCTAAGGAACTATCTGGCTGTATTATTTCCAGCACAGATTTGTTTGTTCTTCTGGCAGTCTATGGTAATTTCAATGTTTGTCACCTGCACTGTATTTTAAGTGCATCTGTTTTTCTGTGGTCATCCTTAGTCGTTGTCCAACTTTCACATACATATGAGGTGATTGAAAGTACCATGTTTGGGTCATACACACCTTCATCCTCAAACTGACATCTTTTTGCTCTCTAACATTTTAAAGAGACCTTGTGCAGCAGATATGCTGCCTAATGCAATATGTTTGATTTGTTGACCATATGCTGCTTTCATAAGTGTTGGTGGTAAATCTAAGCAAAATGAAGTCTTTGGCTGTGTCTATCTGTTCTCCGTGTATCATGATGTTATGTATTGGCCCTGCTCTGAGGATTTTTGTTTTCTTTACTTTGGAGTGCAATCCATATTGAAAATTGTAATCTTTGATCTTTATCAGTAAATATTTTAAGTCCTCTTCACTTCCAGCAAGCAAAGTTATTTCATCTGCACATCACAGGTTGTTAATGAGCCTTTCTCCAATCCTGATGCTGCCTTTTTCATACAGTCCAGCTGCTCGGATTATTTGCTAAGAATACAGATTGAATAATATGATAAAAGGATACAACCCTGATGAACACCTTTCTTGATCTTAAACATTCCGTATTCCCTTATTCTGTTTGAACAACTGCCTCTTTGTCTGGGCGAGTTCATCATGAGCACTTATGTTCTGGAATGCTCATTCCTTAACAGTGTTATCCACAATTTGTTATGATCAATAAAATGCCTTTGTATAGTCAATAAAATGTAACTGTCTGAGGAAGAGAGCGTATTTCCTTCAGGGAACATAAAATACAAGGAATCTTGTAATCTGATAACATGTATTTTCATAATCCACTTTTGTTCCAGTGACATTATTATTTAGACTCTGAATTTTAGCGATATCTCCATCAGTTCTGTTTCTTCAGAAAGCTTCTAGCAAGGATTATCCGTATAATAAACTGGAAAAGAATACTCTAAAAATTTGCCTAGGTTGAGATTAAACAAATACCACTTAAATTTAAATTTGATGTAGTTTTAATATGGAACAATATATGTAGTTATATAAAAAGTAGTATTTTGATCAAATGGAGGAATAACTGGATTTGGATTTAAGTAGCCTTACCCAGCTACTTTACATAAAAATTGTCTCCTATTAAGGCTTGTTATTTGTTAAGTACCTATGATTTGATCCAACTCTTAGGGAAGCAGTGTAGGGTTTCTGAAGAGCGGCTGGTGGATTTGAACCACCAACCTTGTGATTAGCGGTCCAGTGCTTGTCCTACAGCACCACACCAGGATTCCTTATTGATCAATAGGAAATCTAATTGGTTTAATATATATTAATTGAGATGCACTTATCTCCTTTTTAAAATCCTTTCTTTCAGGATGTTAGCTCTTTCTCTTAGCCTGTGGAGCAGAAATTTATCTATGAGTATAATTGAATAACTTTTTTTTGGTCAGTTGCTTCAAAAGATAGCACAGGTTGTTTCTGGAACATTTGACAAATAATATCACACCTACTCCTCACTTATCAACTGTTATGTTATCTCACATTTTGTATTTTTTACAGCAGTTAAAAATCTATAATTTTGCACATTAATGATGTACATCTGTCCGTTAAGAGACACCAAGAAGCAAGCTGAGGTGTGTTGATTAAGGTTTTGTGTCATCTTGCCTTAGCCATGCATGATTCTCAGTGGTTTGACAGTTACGTAATGATGTAGTCATCTTCCACGTTGCTAATCGAATGTGGTTGTCCTCTACTTGCACAGAACACCAGTTTCCACCTAATGATCTGGTCTTTGTCGATAGTGAAGAGTGGGTGTAGACTAAAATGAGAGTATGAAAAGACTTTATTTAAGCTTCTACTGATGAATTATATCAGAAGAAAACCAATTTTTTAGAAGTTCATGTTTATATTCTAAATAAACAAAGCACTGATTCCACACACTGGGTTTTCTTCCTTAGACTTTGAGATTTACATTTACCTTTCAGAGTCATGATATGAAAGAAACTGTGCCTTGGTAAATTTTTCTTCTCTACAATAGCTGTAGGATAAGCCTTGGACTGCTAACACAAGGTCAGCAGTTCAAACCCACCAATCATTCCTCAGAAATCCTATGCAGGGTCGCTATGAGTCAGAACCTACTAGATGGCATTTAGCAACAACAATATTTGTTTATTTGCATAAAGGAGTAACTTAAAGGATGATTAAATCTTTTGATGGAAGGAAAATATCTATATTAGTATATGAATCGAGTCTTACCTTACTACCCTCCATTTGTTAAAATAAGATGCTTTGTTCTTTGCCTAATTGGGTTTACAGATAGTGTTTCATGACCTTGGTCATTATGTTAATTCACTGACTCCTTTCATTGAAAGGGATCGAATTTCTGGCAAACAAAGCTGCTGCTTTCCCTAAGCACTGTTTTCTCATCTCTGTTGAGCAGAGTAGTAAATGCTAAGCTTGAACAGCCAGCCGAGAGTATGAAATGAAAAGCAAAGCAGTTCATAAACTAGAAGCCAGCAGAAATTGGAACAGAACTATGAATAAGTCTGCTGAATGAATCAACTTTCTGGTTTTGTTTTTTGCCCTCAAAGCTCTAGTTTTTTTAATGAAGAATAATACATGGGTTGTGTTTTTAATCACAGCCCAGAGAGGATAAATTTTGGCTGATAAAATTATGCTTTCTTTTTTTTTAAATTCATACTAAATATAGGACTACAAGATAGTAGTACATATTTTTCTTAGGTATTTTCTAGCGTAATCAAGAGCTTAAACATAGAAAATCGTGCTTTATAAGCAAAAGAGTTTACTTACATGAGTTTTTATTTTTCACTTGGAGATTATTGCTACAGTGTATTATGGCCTATTGCTGGAAGTTGCAAGTAAGTACCATATGTGTTAAAAGTACTATATGCTATTTCAGGAAAAATAAGACAAATGATTTATATTTTTATTCTTGATAATTTTCATTATAATCTAACTTTTCTAGAAATTAAATTCAGTGTTTTGAAAACTATGTTAAGTACTTTAAAAAAAAACAACTTTAAATTAACAGGAACAACTTTCAGTTGACTAACATGAGACATTGATTATGTTATGAATTTCTTAAACTATGGAACCAAGCCTCTTCTATTTGTATTGGTATACTAATGGAGAGATACCTACATTTTTTATTAAGGGCATTCATATGGTTACACATAATGAGATTCATATGTTTTTTGCTGAAAATATTTTTGTGGTGATACATTTTCAGTATAACAATAAAAGTATGCAAAAGATTACCCAAACCTTGAAAGGGAGGAATATCAATTCCGAGTAGAAGGATTATGCTGGTGGGACAAATTCGTAGATCCACAAGTGGTCATTGTTCATTCACTTCTTCCCTGCCCCGGAACCTAAAATTAATCTGCTTTAGATATGTCAAAATGAAACTCATGGCTCACAGCACAGATATTTTTCCCTTGACTATGGAGTCTAGTCTTAGTATAAGACATCTTCAAATTTGTTTCTGCAAAAATGTACTTTATAATATTTGATCGCAATAGGTGAACGGTGTTAGTTTTTAAATGTGCTCTATGTATAAGTGTGTGAAAACATGCTCTATGTATAACTGTATTCTTCATGAAATTTGATGCTAGGAACATCCTTAAGGAATAAATGACTTCTTAGATATTCTCATCATCTTATTGTTAGTTTATCTGAAATGCTTTGTGTTCATTCACAGGAAGAACAGGCTGCAAAACTGAAAGCTGAGAAGATCAGAGTTGCCCTAGAGAAAATTAAAGAGGCACAAGTGAAAAAGGTGATATGTGGGCTTTTTTTAACTGTAGCTTTTCATATAGACAAAATGCATTCACATTATTAAAATAATTACTTCCTGGTTACTTCTAAATTCTTAAAAGACTTTTTAGAAAATCACCTTACCATTATAATCTTACCTAGTCTTACAAATTAATCAAAATAAAATGCTTCATATTTTATTTAGGTACACTGTTAGATGTCTGAATCTTTAACCTGTATTTCTTGATGATATAATTATTTGCATTTTAAGTTATAGTGAATAAGGACAGTAATTAGAATACGACTTGGTATTGGGAGAAATCCATTTCTAAAATGCCTGTTGTTTTCATGGCTTCAGCTTTCTCTTTTACCTGTTACAGCTGGTAATTAGAGTGCACATGTCTGACGACAGCTCTAAGACAATGATGGTGGATGAGCGGCAGACGGTGAGACAAGTGCTAGGTAACCTGATGGACAAATCCCACTGCGGGTATGGCTCAGACTGGTCACTAGTAGAAACCATCTCCGAGTTACAGATGGGTGAGTAATACGTCATTGGTTTGAATTTCTTGGTTCCTCTGTAATTCCCACAGTTTTCATGTTACTGAAAGCATTTTGAGGCATTTCTATAACATTACCTTTAGTAATTTGACTTTTTATCTCTGTAATCTGTTTTTTCTCAAGTAATTTAAAATGCTTTGAATATAAGATCATTTCCAGTTCCCTTCCAACATTCTGATGACTAAGACAGGTTTTTCAAAAGATAGCAAAAATATTTTTTTTCCTTAAAATAAGTGTGGGCTGGGAGTTGCGGGCGTCAGTGCAGACATGTAGGCCAAGTCCAAGAACCACACCACGCACAACCAGTCCCGAAAATGTCACAGAAATGGTATCAAGAAACCCCCGATCACAACAATATGAGTCTCTCAAGGGGGTGGACCCCAAGTTTCTGAGGAACATGCGCTTTGCCAAGAAGCACAACAAGAAGGGCCTGAAGAAGATGCAGGCCAACAACGCCAAGGCCATGGATGAACATGCTGTGGCTATCAAAGCTCTCATAAAGCCCAAGGAGATCAAGCCTAAGATCCCAAGGGGTGTCAACCGCAAGCTCAGTCGACTGGCCTACATTGTCCATCCCAAGCAGGGGAAGCGTGCTCGGGCATGCATTGCCAAGGGTCTGAGGCTCTGTCGGCCAAAGTCCAAGGCCAGTGCTAAAACTAAGGCTGAAGCTTCAACCAAGGTCTCAACTAAAGCTCCAATCAAGACCTCAGCTAAAGCTCTAGCCAAGGCCTCAACTCAAGCCCCAACCAAGGCTTCAACTCCAGCCCCAGCCAAGGCCTCACCTCAGGTTCCCAAAGGTGCCTAGGCCCCCACAAAGATGGAATAGAGTTCTCCATCTGAGGACAGAGGGATTGGCGTGACCCTTTGGGCTACCATCTGTATGGAGCTGGTGCCCTCCTGTGCTGTTTGTACAAATAAATATGAGGCAGGGAAAAAAAAAAAATAAGTGTGTACGTATCAGCACATTTACAAGAGACCACTGAATTATGTGTATTTACAAAAAGCCTTTATATTAGCATTTGACTTTCAGGGAAAATATTAAAAGCACATATTATTAGTATGCCAAGTCTTATTGTTGTTAAGTGCCATCGAGTTAGTTCCGTCCCATAGTGACCCTGTATAGTTCCGTCCCATAGTGACCATTCATTTCCAAGGAATGGCTGGTAGTCTTGAACCGCCAACCTTGTGGTTCAAATGGCTTTGCAGTCCAATGCATTAACCCACAGCACTGTACCAGGACTCTGTGCTAAGTCTTAGATCCCTATAGCTTTTATAGTTTGATATGATATAGTCTAATTTTTTAAATTCCTATTATATATAACCTTAATGGAGTCCTGATGTGGCGCTGTGGGTTTAATGCGCCAGATTGCAAATCCATTTGAACTGCAAGATTGATGGTTCAAACTCACCAGCTGCTCCTCAGAAACCCTATACAAGGGTTGCTGTGGTTCAGAACTGACTCGACGGCACTTAACAACAACAATGAATTTTAGTCCTTAAAAAATATGCTTTCTTTTTTTGATTATAGAAATCTTAAAGTTATTTTATTAAGCTTTATTAATCAGTTATCAACTTCCTCTTGCTATAATTTTTTTAAATGCATTTGTACTGCTCTTACTATATCTTTCAATATCCTGTCATACTCTCTAGAAAAATAAAAATTTAACTATTACTTCTTTTCTGCCAGAATGAATATAACTCTGGACAATAAACCACAGGGCTTTAGAAGATTATTAGCATGTATCCTGGGCTTCTGGTATGATGTTGTAGGATCAGCACTGGACTGAAAAACATAGGGTTGGCATTTCAAATCCACCAGCTGTTCCTCGAAAACCCTGTAGAGAGTCATATGTGTCAGAAGCAACTCAGCAGACGTAACGACAACTTATATAACTAGGGTACTAGGACATGTATCCTAGTAACACTCAGAACTTTCCTAGAGAAATTAAGAATTTGAATTCATAGAATCAGAAAATGTTTGGGTACTGAATTTTAGAATATTCCCATGTGTATTCTTTTTCTTTTACCCTTTATATAGTTGCCTATACTATTTTAGTCAACTATATAATTAAAAGAAAAAGATTACACATGGGAATATTACCATTTATATAACTGACTATAGTGTTTTGGCAGTCATATGTCATCACAGTCCTGGTGTAGTGCTGTGGGTTAATGCGCCAGACTGCAAAGCCATTTGAACTGCAAGGTCAGCAGTTCAAGCTCACCAGCTGTTCCTCGGAAACCCTATACAGGGTCGCTATGGGTCGGAGTCGACTCAACAGTACTTCACAACAACAACAACAACATAATGTTTTAGGAGCAGTGGTGGGATTGTAGGGTGAATACTGGACTATAATCACAAAGTCAGCATTCAAACCCACCATCCACTCTGTAGACAAAGATGAGGCTTTCTGCTCCCATAAAGATTTACTGACTCAAAAACCCCCATAAAGGGTCACTGAATTGGAACCAACTTGAAGGCATGAAAAAGAGTAGATTGTAAATTATTTTAAGTCAGTTATGTTGCTCTTCATTTTCACTCACACCTCTTAGGTTGTAACTTTCTCAGTTGTTGTTAGGTGCCATCGAGTCGGTACCAGCTCATAGCACCCTGTGCACAATAGAACAAAACACTGCCCAGTCCTGTGCCAACCTTACAATCATTGTTACCTTTGAGCCCATTGCTGCTGCCACTGTGCCAGTCCATCTTGTTAGGGTCTTCCTTTTTTTCTCTGACCTTCTACTTTACCAAACATGATATATCCTCCAGGATAACATGCCCAAAGTATGAGAGACGAAGTCTGGCCATCCTGGCTTTCAAGGAACATTCTGGCTGTACTTCTTCCAACATGCAATAAGTCGTTTGATTTCTTTACTGTTGCTTCCATGAGTGTTGAAGGTTGATCCGAGTAAAATGAAGTCTTTGACAGTTTCAATCTTTTCTCCATTTATAAGAATGTTGTTTATTGGTTTTACTTTGATGTACAACCCATACCAAAGGCTGTGCTCTTTGATCTTCATCAGTAAGTATTTTAAGTCCTCTTCACTTTCAGCTTGCAAGGTTTTATCATCTGCATGTCACAGGTTGTTAATGAGTTTTCCTCCAATCCTGATGCACGTTCTTCTTCATGTAATCCAGTTTCTCAGATTATTTGCTCAGCATACAGATTGAATAAGTAGGGTGAAAGAATACAACCCTGGTGCACACCTTTCCTAATTTTAAACCCTTCAGTGTTCTCTTGTTCTATTCAAACAACTGTCTCTTGGTCTATGTACAGGTTTCTCATGAGCAGAATTCAGTGTTTTGGATTACTCATTGTCTTCAGTGCTATCCATAGCTTGTCATGATCCACAAAATCAAAAGCCTTTGCATACTCAATAAAGCACAGGTAAACATTTTTCTGGTATTCTCTGCTTTCAGCCAGTATCCATAGGACCTCAGCTATGATATCCCATGTTCCATGTCCTCTTCTGAATCAGGCTTGAACTTCTGGAAGTTCTTTGTCAATGTGTGGTTGCAACCTTTTTGGTATAATCTTTAGCAAAATGTTATTGGCATGCAATATTAATGATACTGTCCAATGATTTCTGCATTCCACTGGATCATTGCTTTTTGGAATGGGCACAGATGTGGATATCTTCCAGTCAGTTGGCCAGGTAGTTGTCTTCCACATTACTTGGTGTAGATGAATGAATGCCTCCAGTGCTGCATCATTCTGTTGAAAGATTTCAATTTGTATTCTATCAATTCCCAGTGCCTTACTCTTTGCCAATGCCTTTGGTGCACCTTGGACTTCTTACTTCAGTATCATTGGTACAGTGACTCTGTATTCCTTCTTCTTTTTTTCTTTATTTTTCCTTCCATCTTCTTTTGATGCTCTCTGCATCATTCAATATTTTGCTTAAAGAATCCTTCAGTATTACAACTCGAGTCTTGAATTTTACTTCAATTTCCTCAGCTTGAGAAATGCTGAACATGTTCTTCTCTTTTGGTTTTCTGATTCCAGGTCTTGCACATTTTGTTATAAATATTATACTTTGTCTTCTCAAACTGACCTTTGAAATGTTCTACTCACCTTTTTACCTCTTCATACCTTCTATTTGCTTTAGCATCTCTATGCTAGAGAGCAAGTTTCAGAGTCTCTTCTGCCATCCATTTTGGTCTTTTCCTTCTTTTTTGTGTCTTCTTAATGACCTTTTGCTTTCTTCCTGTATCATGTTCTTGAGGTCATCCCACAACACTTCTGGTCTTCAATCTTCAGTGTCTAATTTTGAGATGATTTCTAAATTCAAGTGGGATATGTTCAAGGTCATATTTTGGCTCTCATGAACTTGGTTTCATTTTTTGAGCCTCAGCCTGAACTTGCATATGAGTAATTGATGGTCTGTTCCACAGTCTGCCCCTAGGATAAGGAGCTTTTCCACTGTCTCTATCCAAGGTGTAGATAATTTGATTTCTGTGTATTTCATCTGGTCCATGTGTATTGTCATTTTTTTGTCATTTTAAAAAGGTATTTGCAATAAAGAAGTCATTGGGCTTACAAAATTCTATCATGCAAGCTCCACATATTTCTATCACCAGGGCCATATTTTGCATGTCTCCCAATCTTTCCTCTTTGTTTCCAACCTTTACGTTCCCAGCACCAGTAATTATCAGTACATCAGTACATCTTGATTGCATTTTGGTAAATTTCAGACTGAAGAAGTTGGTAGAATTCTTCCATTTCATCCTCACTGGCTTTACTGGTTGATGCATAAATTTGAATAATAATGATGTTAACTAATCTTAATTTTAGGCGTATAGATATTGTTCTAACACAATATTGTATTTCAAGACAGATCTTGAAATGCTCTATTTGATGATGAATGTGATGCCATTCCTCTTCAGTTTGTCATTCCAGGCATAGTAAACCATGTGATTGTCAGATGCAAAATGGCCAATAGCAGTTCATTTCAATGTTGATGCATTCCATTTTATTTTTGCAAATTTCAAATTTTCCTAGATTCATACTTCATAAATTCCATGTTCCGATTATTATTATGAGTTTGTAGTTAAGTCAGAACAGGTGCACATAGTTTTACTTTAGTGCAAGAAACAGCTGGAAGCAGTTCCAATGATTTAAAAGCTCTACGCGCAGCAAGTTCAGATGATTGTGATGAAGAATTTATTGTCAGTAGGGGTCCATTCAGTCATTCCATAGTTAGGGCACATTTACGTAGCATTAGAATGTAAGTAAATCCACTGCCATCGATTTGCTGCTGACTCTTAGAGACCTTGTATAGGTAGGTTCTCAATGTTCTGAAGTTTCATGGAAGCAGAAAGCCGCATGTTTCTCCCTCAGAACACCTGGTGAGTTTGAACTGACTGCCAGTCCAGTGTTTCTCCTGCAGCGCTACAAGGCTCCTAAGAAAGCAAATGGTTGTTGTTGTTGGTGTGTCATGGAGTCAGTTCTGACTCATAGTGGCCCTGTATAGGGTTTCCAAGGCTGTCAATCTTTATGGGAGCAGAAAGCCTCACCTTTCTCCCATAGACTGGCTGGTAGATTCGAACTGCTGACCTTGCAGATAGCTGCCCAACTTGTAATCCACTGTGTTACTAGTGTTGATAAATACAGGATCTGCTAAAAGAAGACCCTCCATGAGATGAATTGATACAGTGGCTGCAACAGTGGGCTCAAACATAGTAACAGTTGTGGGGTTGGCAGGGCATCATCAGTGCTTTGTTCTGTTGTACATAAAGTATGAGTGTGAGCCGGCTCTCAGGTACCTAAGAACAACAGTAGATTGGTTTAAGTTTAGAATTCATGGGGCAAAGCAGAAGCCATCATGGAAAAATTTTAAGTGCCGAGACCTGGGTAGAATACCAAGATATCAAATTTATTAACTACAACTGAAGAGTTTTTTTCCTGAAAGGCTGCCATGGGAAAAGGCTTACAACTAAAGAATAACCTACCCTGAGAGCTCCTAGAGTCTAGCGTGAATTTTCCATGTGACCCTAAGTTTGTCCCTTGTATCATACGGACATGTTTCCTTATTTGAAAAATGAGGAAAGACCAAATCATCTTTCAGAGCCCTAGATTCTGATGTGCGATAATACATGATGTTTCGTGTCTTTAGTTATTATATCTTTCCTGGCGTTCAGTTTTCTGCCACCTGAAACCGGAAGTAAAATAATGTTGTTTTGATGAACACTCACAAAATATTGATGTTTTATTTTGGAACAGAGAGAATCTTTGAAGACCATGAAAACTTGGTTGAAAACCTTCTCAATTGGACAAGAGACAGCCAAAATAAGCTTATATTTATGGAGCGAATAGAAAAATATGCACTGTTCAAAAACCCACAGGTAAGACTGACCAATTTACTATAGAGGTTAGTAAATGTCTATCTTAGTTTATTCTATTACTGGTGTTTTAATAGAATTAAAAGGCAGGGAACTCCACAGGGCGTATTGCCTACTACTGAGGTGGAAAGCCTGATCTACAGAGTCCATGTGTTATGCTTCTAGAAGCTACAGGGGCTGTGTTACAGGGACTGTGTATTCCTTCCATATTTTTTTTAATGCTTTCTGTATCACTCAGCATTTTCCCCATTGTTATTGTTGTTGTTGTTACGTACTGTAGAGTTGGTTCCAACCCATAAAGACCCTGCAAAGGGTTTCTGAGGAGCAGCTGGTGAGCTTAAACCACCGACCTTGAGGTTCAATCCATCTTTGCAGTCTTAGCACATTAACCCATAGCGCCACACCAGGACTCCATTTTGCCCATAGAATTCTTCACTACTGCAAGTCTAGGCTTGAATTTTATCTTCCAGTCTTTCAGCCTGAGAAATACTAAGCTTGTTCTTCTCTCTTGTTTTCTAACTCCAGGTCTCCATACATTGCATTCTGATACTTGCCTTTTTCTTCTTGAGAAGCCCTTGGAAATTTTCTGTTCAGCTCCTTGACTTCCTCATTTACTTTAGCATCTCTACACTGGAAAATAAGTTTGAGTCTCTTATAACATCCATTTTGGTATTTCCTTTCTTTCCTGTCTTTATAATGACATTTTGCTTTTTTCCTGTGTGATGTTCTGAATATCATCCCACAATTCTGGTCTTTGCTCATTAGTCTAATGCATTAAATCTGTTCTTCAGATGGTATCTAAATTGAGATGGGATATGTTCAAGATCATATTTTGGCTCTCACAGACTTGTTTTAATTTTCTTGAGCTTCAGCTTGCATATGAGCAATTGATGCTTTGATCCATAGTCTGCCCCAGCCTTGTTTTGGCAGATGATATTGAGCTTCCCTTCCCTCCCCTCCCGTTTCCACAGATGTAGTCAATTTGACCCCTGCATATTCCATCTGGTGAGGTCCACGTGTATAGTCCGCCTTTTCTGTTGTTTAAAAAAGTATTTACAGTAAATAAATCATTGGTCTTCAATTCAGTCTCTAGCATCATTTCTATCACTAAAGCCATATTTTCCTCTTTGTTTCCAACTTTCACATTCCACTCACCAGTAATGATCAATATATCTTGATTGTGTGTTTGATCAATTTCAGACTGAAGAAGTTGGCTGTTGTTGTTAAGTGCTGTGGAATCGGTTCCGACTCATAGCAACACTCTGTAGGGTATCCGAGGAGTGGCTGATGAGCTTGAACCACCAACCTTGTGGTTCAAACCGACCTTGTAGTCCAGTGCATTAACCCACAGTGCCACATCAGGGCTCCAAAGAAGTTGGTAGAATACTTCAGTTTCATCATCACTGGTTTTAGTGGGTGGTGCGTAAATTTGAAAAATAGTGGTATCTGGTCTTCCTTATTGTTATTAAGTGTCGTCAAGTTGGTGCCAACTAATAGCAACTCTGTATAGGGTTCCCAAGGAGTGGCTGGTAGGTTTGAATGGCCATCCTGTGGTTAGCAGTCTTTCTTGTTGGCATATGGATATTATCCTATCTCAGACACTATTGTACTTTAAGATAGATCTTGAAATGTTCTTTTTGACAATGAAACATCACCATTCCTCTTGATTTTGTCAATCTAGGCATAGTAAACCAAAAGATTTTCAGATTCACAGTGGCCAGTACCAATCCATTTTAGCTCACTTAATGCCTAGGATATCGATCTCTGTGTGCTCCATTTCATTTTTGACAACTTCCAGTTTTCCTAGATTTATACTTTGTACATTCCATGTTTCAGTTATTAAGGGATAATTTCAAGTGTTTCTCATTTTGAGTTATGCCCCATCAGCAAATGAAAGTTCCAAATGTTTACTCTATTCACATCATCATGGTCAGTTCTATTTTGAGGAGGCAGCTCTTCCCTAGTAAAATTTTGAGTGCCTTCCAACATGAAGGGTTCATCATCTGGCAATATATCTGACAGTATTCCGCTGATATTCATGAGGTTGTCAGTGGTTAACCATTTCAGAAGTAGCCTGCTTCTCTTTCTTCCTAGTCTGTCTTAGTCTGGAAGCTCTGCAGAAACCTGTTCACCATGGCTGACCCTACTGCTATTTAGAATATTGGTTGCATAACATCAATCAACATACATTCCACCACAGTACAACAAGCTGACAGATAAGTGGTGTCAGTTTGATGACAGGTGTGGGAAAAAAAAATTACGAGGCAATGATTTTAATTTAGATTTCTTGTTGGTTCAAGCAAATAATATGGTGATGATTTTAGAGTATTTGGAATTTCCTTTTAAAAGCCATAAGTTAAATTTTCTGTATCTGAATCAGTTAAGCTCAGCATATTTTAGGGAATTTGCTTTTTATTGTTCTGTGCCGTAGAGTCGGTTCCGACTCATAGACCTGTATAGGGTTTCCGAGGCTGTAAATCTTTACAGGAGCGGAACGCCTCATCTTTCTCCCACGGAACAACTGTTGTGTTGACTTTGTGGTTTGCAGCCCAGTTCGTAAGCACTGTGCTACCAGAGCTCCTTTAATTGTAGTACGTAATAATTTATAAGCTTTTCAGGTCATTTTTAAGAATAGCTTTCATATTAGTCAGCTGTTGAATGTAATGTCACCTCCCGACTTGGGGGAAGTCAGTTGATGGGATGTTGTTGAGTGCTGTTGAGTCGATTCCGACTCAGCAAACTGTATAGGTTTTCCAAGGAGCGGCTGATGAGTTTGAACCACCAACCTTGTGACTAAGCAATCCAGTGCTTATATTACAGCACCACAGCAGGACTGCAGTTGATGGGATCGTTCCTGATAAATGGATAGCTACAGAGGAGACCCTCATCAAGCATTTTAGCAATGTTACGGACAGTCAGGGAGCTTTCCAAATTTCTTCCCCCAATGTAACCAAACCAAACCAAATCCACTGCCGTCTAGTGGGTTCTCAGAGTAAAACGCTGTACTGCCTCGTCTTCCTCCTGTCTGTTATCGGCCCAAGGGTTAACTACCACCAGGGCGCCACCACCATCCCAAGGTTCAAGGCAGAAATTGACTCTGAGTTACTGCGCTTCTGGAAGAAATTATATACACACCATACACACTCACACAAAGGGAGTAGTAAAGTCAAATTCACTCTAAATGTCACTTACTCATTTTTCTAGAATTACCTTCTGGGGAGAAAGGAAACAGCTGAGATGGCGGACAGAAACAAAGAAGTGCTACTGGAGGTATGGATTTCTCCTCTTCTGCCCTTAC